AACGCAACGCACGACGTATTTATTCACGATGTCCGTGAAAGTAAACCATAGGTACTCTATGCGGTAGCACTGTGCTTTTTGCGGTAAATACATTCCACGCTTCCGCATTTCCAGCCACGGTATAAATATTTTTAAATACTATTATAATTGAATTGTTACTTTTCTTTTTTGGATATTTTATTTATAGAATAGCGTGACAAACGAGCACACAGTCCACCTGATGGTAAGTTGTTGCTGTGGCCCATAGACATCTACATCTCTCCCCGGTTACGAATCAAAATGCAGATGCGTCGTCGCCCGTGAGGACTAAGATGGATTACCTCGTTTCCAGTAAATAGGGTCTCCGGTTTTCTACACTTACCATACGAAACACAGCAGCATTAAGCTACTATTTTACGCTGGTATTCTGTGAGCGCGTTCCTTCCCCGGTCGAGTCGACCCATTCGTGCTATAACTAGTAATAATAATGTCCTCCAGACCGAATTTCGGCCACGGCGGTCTGCCTCATTGGAGGCTAGCCATCGGCGCTGGACGGGATTATAGTGCCCAAGTGTATACAAGCACAGGTGCACTCACTATTCCCTCACTCTCGTAATCCGACGGTAAACCGACACGACCGGGAAGGCGCAGGACTAACGGCTTTACGTGCTTTCCGAGGCACGGGGGTGAACTCCGCCAACTTCCTGACTCCGGCCAGCTACTGAGAATTTCTTGACAGAAAAACTCAATAACTGATTTTTTGGCCCGACCCGGGATTCGAACCCAGGACCTTATCAGCATTCGCATAGATCAGCAGTCTCACTACTACAAGGACTAGACCAACGAGGCAGTCTATAACTATACTTATAATATAACTGCAGCATGGCTCTACCACACATTTATTAAAATAAATAAATAGAATTGTTATTTGTATTATCGATGGTGGTGTGTCAATATATTAAAAGGAAACACAAATAACAATTCTATTTATTTATTTTAATAAATTTCCTATCGTTAGTAACATAATAGGATGGTGGCTTTATTTCGTCAGATTTACATTTAATATTTACTTAATAGTTTACTTTTATTATTGCATAAAGTTACATATAATATCATTTTATGGAAGTTTTAACAACGAACTAATTTTATTAAAGAAACAAGGGTAGGTTTGTCCGTTGCCGTTTCAGCCTTTTAAAGTCCGCTGCAGAACATATGCCTCCCCTATAGATTGCCCCAAAGATTGGGGAATTTGCCGTAGTTGCTACGTTTTACAAGCGGATGGCAACCGCAGCTTTTTTATTTTTATTCGTTATTGGGAAGACGCTGCTGCCTATTTTCTGATTTCTTCATTTTCGTCTGTCACCTCTTACGAAACCCATGAGATAATATAGGTTAATGTTTATTCTTACACCGGGGCTTCACGGCCCGGTAGGTTGTTCATATATATGTATCTGTAAATTTACAACACACACACAGTAATATAATAAAAAATTGAAAATTTAGAAAGAGAGAAAGAAAGAAAGAAATATTTATTTGGCCATTTCTTAACAAATTAGCACTAAATACTCAAAATAAACATTAAGTATAGGTAATCTTAATTATACCCTTACAACGAAAAATAAATCATTTTGACAATGCTAGGTATGAAATAAATTAAAAAAAGCGAATATCTAACTAAAAAACTTATTTTGGAAATGGTCCAAGGACTGCCACTCAAGAAACGCTAAGGTGTGTCATTCTAGCCCTGATTTTCAGTGACAACCTTTAGTACATTACGTACACACACACTCACTCACACACACACACACACACACACACACACGCACGCACGCACGCACGCACGCACACACACACGCACGCACGCACGCACGCACGCACGCAGCGCACGCACGCACGCTCGCACGCACTCACGCTGGCACGCACTGCACGCACGCACACACATAACACACACACACACACACACACACACACACACACACACACACACACACACACACACACACACACACACACTCACACACTCACACACACACAACACACATACAGTTATATACATACACATACATACAAAAATTTATTTTCGAAATGAATCCTCTAAGGTATTTATAAATAAATATTCTCGAAGAAAAGATATAAATTATATCAGGAACTTCCAATATTATGACAATCGTTGTTAAAATCTTGTCTACGTCACAGAACCAGAGCCATTTTTCACTCTGAAAAACTTTTAATGACGATGCCAAATTCATGATCGAAAAGTTCTTCGGGTGATATAATTAATAAATTGGCAAATATAAAATAACATTATATTTTGTTTCAAAAGTTTGAATAAAAACGTTACTTAATATAAAATTGGTATATTTTCCTTTGTTGCTCTTCTTGTTTATTTACAACATATTAAAACACGCTGATTAAAATTATGGGTCCCAAAAAATAAAGCGTTAACTTTTTACTTTTAAAAAGATATTTGTTAAATGATATTATTATTTTATTAAAACAAAAAATGACAGTTTTTATTTCATTTTACTTCACAGCTTAAGGAAAACTTATGTGTCTCAGTATCATAACGTTTTTTGATTATTTGACAGAATTAAATAAAAATTAGTTAGATACTCTTTTTGCTAGAGAGTTATAATTTAAAGATAAAAAATAAAATTTAAGAAACATACTATAAACTTTTCGTGATGGTTCCCAATATATGAACAGAAATGCATAAATCTATCAGCTATTCCTAATGAGTCCGATATTATTATATAAATAAATAAAGATCAATTAAAATATGCGTTATATTACAAAGAGCAGTCAAATTATAACTTACGTTCAAATATATAAATAAGTATATAACGTTATTGCAGTTTTTGAAAATACGAGTAAATATGGTTTCTACTTTGATTAGAAATTATCCCAAAGTGAATGTGATTTATGGGCAACAAAGTTTTGCCTACCGAGCGACCTATATGAACCTTCTCCGCAAATTCGGCCGGTTATTGCATAACAACCCCGTTAGCGATTCATAATTATGCAAAGTGGAACACAATGCTGATTAAAATAAATAAATAAAATAATAACTATTTTATTTATTTTAGTCAGTCTTTACAATTAATTAATAAAAATAGGAATAATCTAAATTATAGATCCCATTACATATGATTTGAATAAAATTATAACGAGCTCAGTTGGTTTTAAACTTAAATGTATATTAAAGCCTAGCCAACAACATAACAACAGTTCCAGTAACATAGTTCTACTACAACAAACGAGGCATTCCATCTTAGCCCTCGGTGGTGCTATATATTCTGAATTTATAGATAAAGATATCTATGAGCCACAATATCCACCATTGAGCCGTGGTAGCTCAGATGGTTAACGTTCGCTGTAAATATAACAGAACGCGAGTAACCCGGGTTCGATTCCCGCCGGTACCAATAAAATTGTAAATTGCAATTTTAACTGCTGATTTACCACGTGCTCGGCGGTGAAGGAAAACATCGTGAGGAAAGCTGCATGTCTGATGTCTGAGGAATAAAAAAAATATTTCGAAGACATGTGAAGTTCGCCAACACGCATGGGGGCAGCGTAGCTTATTTGCCCTAAAACCCTCTCAGAAATGAGAAGAGGCCTGTGCCCAGCACTGGGACGTATATAGGCTGTAACTTTACTTTACTTTTTACAGTATCCACTTACCATCAGGAGAACTGTGTACTCGTTTGTCAGATTACAAATATTATTATGTAGCTTAGATAATATTCAAAATGTAAAATTTATATTATTTGAGCCATATTCAGTTATAGATCGCTGGCTGTTTTTTAATAGGTGAGCTAAAGTGTATGATATTAATATTATGTTATTAAGCTACGATAACCGTAACACTGTGCTGCCAAACTATAAGTTAAAAAAGACAAAAATAGAAAATACTGAAGTATAATTGTTTGAACCGTACAGACTATGGAGTCAAAATGCGTAAACGCCAACTCGTTACACTAATTCAACGTGCGAGACTGTAGTACGTTAAATTGAGCTAATCTCTGACCTGTTCGCAACTTCGGCTCTTGTACTTGAACCGTGAACTGAACCATGAATATAAGAGAGCGAATTCTTTAGTCCTTTTTTGCATGTGTCCATTGGCATAGTAGCTTTTTACTATTATGTTTATTATTGTCTGGATTATGAGATGTTATTCTAGCACAATTGGTACTACATATTGTTAGCCTTCATTCCCACTTTAATTAGTATTATAACAAGTAAAATTCAGGATCTAACACCACTGCACATATTATAAGTGAAAATTGATCCCGATAGAATATTTTGGTCCTAATAATTATGGCTCATGCATATTGCTTAATGTTTATGAAGTTTGTTAAAAATATTTTGGTTTTTAGTGAGAGATAAAAATGCATATGATAAACCCTCCTGTATATTGTCGGCCCAAAAATATCCAGAATGAGGATTAATATTCCAATTATGAATTCTCCTGTCAAGTTTCGTTTAAAGTATTATAGTAATATTTATAAAGTCAAAGTTAAGACTTTTGTACGTCTCAGTTCTGAGCGCGTGTCACCTCTCATCACTGAAAGTATTATTTGAAAATATTTTTTATCTATAAAATAAAGGTTAACGACACGAGCACACAGTCCACCTGATGGTAAGTGGACGCTGTGGCCCACAGACGTCTACATTTATCCTCAATTTAGATTAAAAATGCAGACTATGTGTTGTCACCCCTTAGAACTAGGAGACCTCAGAGACTGAGTCACTGTTTCCAGTAAAAAGGGTCGCCGGTTCTTTACACTATGAAATACACAGCACAATATGAAACACAGCAGCTTCAAGCTGCTATTTTACGCTGGTATTCTGGCGAGAGCGTGGTCCTACTCTAGTCGAGCCGATCCACTCACGCTACAACCATAATATAGCTGCAGCGTGGCTCTACCTAGTATAGTTAATAATAACCAGTATCAAGTTCTGGTATCAAATAATGTACCTACTTACATTTCCGTTCTTTATTTTGTCCACAGGTTGAAATGCTATACCAGCGTTACTTTCTACGCATGAACCAGACTAACATGACACACCTACTCGGACTGCTGCTAACGTTTGCTTTAGCGCTAATGGTGGTGCAGATTCACACACTGCTCATCGCTCAGAACTTTTTTAGCGGCATTGTACTACCCACCAATACGTCTGTTTTCATTGATTCAGACCCATACCGGTAAGTTACATAGTTGCATTTCATAAGGGTTATTTCATTTATACACCCTAAAAATCCACCCTACGATGGAGACTCGGAAACACGTGTTTATTAATCCTCCCCAGGCAGAGTTGATAATCGGAATTCACTTTCATTTGTTTTTCCGACTTTTTACTGTATGTTACCATCTGTATCAACCTATATTCGCAATAAATGATTTGAATTTGAATTTGAATTTACTTCAAATACAATCAACACATACACTTTACTTTCTAAATTAATTTTACTAACCACACTTTAATTAAAAACGTAATATGTATTACCGTTACCGTATTTCATTAAGATCAAATAAAACTTCCTCATTTTTAAATAATATTATTGCATAATTCATAAATTCTGCATTTTGTCCAGGCGATTACCAACAGTAATTTCATTATTGATTAGACATGATTTAAATGACGATTTCATCCTGGATATAATATCCAGGATGAAATCGTCATTTTAATGTTCATGTGCAATTGTTTTCTAAATTTCTGTGCTACAACAGACGTGTTAGCAAATAACTGAGCGTTTTTTGCAAGCATTCCAAAAACGTTACTAATGGATGTTTAGGTCTTTAACTTCATTTTAAACTATTTTATGCCAAGATTCTTATGAATCTGTAGTCCTGTGAGGCACTCCTTTTATTTCAGCGTTGATCTTTCAAACAAGAAGTATGTACAAGATGGGCCATGAATTAGTTTACATCAAAATTTGATTTCCCGTGCAAACTTAAGATTCGTGGGCCACGGGAAGAGGTGGAGCTTGTATCTCGGAAATTTAATCATAATTTCGCGAGGCCGCAGCTCGCCTTTTGGATTAAGCAATTTTATTTGAACACTTTTTCGTTCATTACAGTTAGGCGCTTTTTTCGTATTAAGTATGATTTACATGACTTGTAACAGTGTCCAAGTTCAGTTGTAATAAAGAAATGGATGAAGAAGTGCGAGGAGATGGGATAGACACTAAATGTGAAGTAAACTGGTGGCTTACGAACTTCACGGAACGAAAGGAACGTGCAAAGAGTTTCAACTACAGTTCGACGTGATCCTCGAATTAGGAATATTACGCAAAACCTTACGTCGTATTTTGAAATAAGATTTCAAATTACATCTATACAAAATTCTTTAAGTGGAGTAACTAAAGCCCAACGATTAAAATTTAGGCTAATTGTATGCCGAGACACTCAAATCATTCCACCTAATCATCAACACACGACGAATCTGAAGCATATAAATCCTAAAGCAAAACCCCCACATAAACAAAAAGGCCCTCTTTCTCAGCCTCACCTAAAAAAGTATTAAAAGAGTTTCTGTCACCGCAGCCACAGGAATTTGACGGCTACAGTCAGAATACACATGATTATAGCAAGACAAAGCTATCTGCCATACCTAATGCGACTCTGTCGGTCGTTAGAGAGATGTTTCCTCAAAATCTGATTTCTCGGTGGCGACATTTCGTGGGACTTAGCAGTCCTGACTTGACGCCAGCAGACTTCTTTGACTTCTTTTAATCGGAATATTTAAAGCATCGGGTGCACACTCATAAGTTGAAAACATTTCATAACTTAAAAGCAAGGATAATAGAAGTGAGAACTGCAATCTTTCGGTAATTATTCCGAAGAGTAAATGAAAATGTTCGTGCTCGTTTAGCGAGGTTGCTCATTTAAATGATATTATTTTTAAAAACTAAATTCCAATGTTACTGAGAAATAAATATTTTTTTGAATTACCTATACATTTTATTATTTTTCTTTTTTTTTTAATGTTAACAAATTCATGGCCCATCCTGTACATATTTTTACATGTAATATCTACTAAGTATCTTGGGCCAGTTTTGTCCATAGACTTCTACTGGTGTATAGACGATCTAAGATGCCGAAAACGCGTGACAAATTTTGATTAGTCATTGTACGCGTTAACTAGTGATGTATATTTTACTCATAAAGATAATTGATTTCAGTGCGGCCACAACAATTCAATTGGAAGTGCTAAGGAAACAGTAAAAAGTTCAGAAACATTTGTTTAGTACACGAAACTAAATAACTTCAAAAATTTATCGAATTTTTAACATAATAGTTCCAATATTTTTTTTTATTTAATCAAAAAACAATTTAGCGGGAATAAGCGAAGGAAGGTAGGCCTTTTGTTGGATTTTACTAAAAAATATATAAAATCCCAATTATCTCTGGAGAGGTACTCATAAAATTAAACAATTTTCCCCAAGAAAGAGATAAGAAAGCGGTATTTTCGAGCATTTGAAATCATTTTCGTAATACTGTTCAATAAGTAAACACTTCCGCACGCACTGGCGTTCCACTTGAAAGAATAGAATAGAGTAAACTACATAATACTCCAGCTAATCCGAGCAAAGCTGGAGGACGCCAGGGGAGCCCCCACCCCCCCGCTTATTCAACACAGATTACATGTAATTCTTATTGAAAGTAATTTTTTGATTCGAAGAAAAACCTCTATCTTAAGAAGAACTAGCAAGAACCAAAACGAAGCAAGCAGGGCTTTTTTCAAGTAAATTATGAGACATGAAAGGTTGTATAAACCATTTACAAAATTTGTTTTAGAAACAGTTTGGAAGCGACCATCTTATTCCCAGGGGTAAATATCAACCATATATTCATTTATATTATAATAACCCTTTTTGTCCAGTTTTTGTTTGATAAAATATTTAAACTTGGTAATAGCGAAACCTTGTAATATACAAGCACTCTGGAACTTTGTTGTAATAGTAAATGCATTACCCCAAGAATGAATGACTTACTCTGTGGAGGTGGTAAATTTAAATTGTAGGTGTTGTAAATTTAATACATTTGGTTTAAGAGAAGATGTGATGCGAGGGCACTGTCTCTTCTGTGAATTACTTTGTTAACATAATGTACATAAACAGGTAGCTACTTGTATAAAAAATAACAGTCATTATGCAGTACTCTGTATATTCGTTTTTATTTTACCAGCAAACGTTTCAAAATTATTATTAAACATATTAGTTACAATTACACTTAAGCTTTTAAATAGAACAATCTTATTTAACTGGGTATCTACAAATTTCCCTACTTAAATTATTGAGTTTACTATAAAAGTAAAAAATAAAAATAAAGTCCAAGTCCAAGTTTACAACGCAAATCGATCTTTTATTTTTTGTGTGGGCTACAAGTCTGTCATTTAATAATAAACGATCTAGATAAATATCGACATTGATTTTGATATAGTTGAGTCAATCCCTAGCGTACATGTAAAATAGTTTGATGAAAAATGAATTCACCAAAATCTTGCAAATTATAATCAACTTGGCTTTTTTTTAAAAATATAAAAATTAACAAAATTATTTAATAAAATCTATACACTAAACGGATTAAAACATAAATTTTAATCAAAGGAAAGACGTAGGTCAGTGAGGACGTCTTAACAATTTCCCTGTGTAACCCTGTGTAAGAAAGTACTCTGTGGTGTAAATTGACACCGCAGTCACTCACAGAACAAAAGAACATTGTTGAAGTCAGTTACTTAATTAAAAGAACAACCATGGAGTATAGAGGTAATGAGGACAATCTCCCATAGGAGAATAGATGAAAATGTGTCCATCCGTAAGCAGTAAATAACAGTTCAAAAACTCTTCACAACAGCGCTCGAGTAGCTACAGTGATAAATCGCCGTAAAATACGTTGCGAGTGGTTTTGAAAGTAAAAATTTTGAAATCAATAAAATAATTATTGTAAAAAAGTTATGGTGAAAGTCTGTGCAATAAAAAAATTATATAGAGTTTTTTTTAATTTAGATTGTAGCTATAGTGGCGCCACCCTTATTAAGTGCTTTCCTACGGACACGTTTTTATACAGAATCTGCACTCCTTACCTCTACACTCCATAATAACAACTATTCAAAAAATCCGAAATACCTAAGAGCTCATTGTCATTCAAAATCAGTCGCAGTCATGAGATTTGCTGTCCTTTTCTATTCTTCTATATTGCCATATGGAATTTTTTTCTCCCTTGTATACTATGGCCGTTTATATATTCTAAGTATATGGTATCATATTTTTATAAATCACTGTATCGGAAGAAAATTAATATATACGCGTTTCCGAGTATCCACCCTGGGATGGATTATTTTGGCTGGATAAACGGAATAACCCTTTGATTATCTTGAATCTACATAACAACGCCACATTAGTAGACAAAACCGGAGAATCATTTTCACATTCGTTAATAGTTTAAAAATATTTAAATGTGTCCTATTCTTCGATATAAAATCGTCATCGCAAAAGTTAGGACACATCCTCGTGGTCGCCAATAGATGGCGTAACCGTCAACATCATCATCAAAACCTATAGAAGTTCACTGATCAACATAGCCCGTGCCATATATTGCCTCATAGCAGAGATATATATGCTATAGTTGCCACGTTTGGTAGGCAAGTTGGCAACCACCGATTTTTATTATTTTAAGTTATGCTTAGGAATATCTTGCTTTTCTTTTAATTACGATGTAATGACTATCATTCACGAATAAGAATGAAGTTAGTGTGATGATTTCGTAACTTCACTTCGTGGTCGTATAGTGGTGGCTTGGGGAGTATACCAGCCAATTTCTTCCTTTTTTGTCGTAAAATTTGAAAAAGGTTAGAAGAAACAGGAGATGGTGTATTAACCTTTAGAAATACTTCTTTAAGCATGATATAGATCTCGCACTACTTTTTATATTACCGAATAAGTGCATCCAATCCCAATTAAGAGTAAGCAATCATCAGCTTTAGATTGTAACAAAACATAGGAATGACCTAAACGTATACTTTGACTTTCTGTATTTATACCAAGCAGGTTGTAGCTCAATTTATTGTAGTGGTCTTGTGAAAGGCTGGTAAGATTATAATACAACTTCGTGGTAATATTGACTATTGTGTTTGTTAGGCTTAAACTCTTTAAAAATAGTATAGCTTTTACATAATAGAGCCACGCTGAAGCTATATTATGGTTGTAGCACGAATGGGTCGGCACGAGCGGGGTAGGACAACGCTCTCACAAAATACCAGTGTAAGACAGTAGCTTAGTGCTACTGTGTTTTGTATGGTGTGTTTCATTTTTACTAGAAACTTTGCATTCCATATCGGTCTTCAGTCGACAGCGCGTCTACATTTTGATTCTTAATTGAGGATAAACGTAGATATTTGGCCACAGCATCCACTTACCGTCAGGTAATCTATAAAACTTAAAAAAATATGTAAAATAGAAAAACCCCCAAATTTTCGAGATATCAGCTTAATTGGTACACCACTCAGGTCTTCATCTAACTTCTTTCACACATTACTTACATCTGAATTGTGTTGATAGTTTGTCACTGTTATTCTATAAAAAAAAATCAGTGTTCAAGCTTTATTGAAAATATTACTGTTTTATAAACTGAACAATTTACATAACAGATTATTAAATCTATTTTGTTTTTCCTTAGATTTGAATTCACACCGGAGCCCCGGAACCTGACCACACTGAATTTCGACTACTTGCTCGAGGGTAACGCTTCCCACATGAAACGCGTCTACTACGCTAAAGAACGCGCCGCACACATAGTTAACATCATAGTTCTCGGAATTGCTGCACTAGTGTATGCCTGTGAGTTTTAATTACCTAGCTACTGTCATAGAAACTTTGTAAAGCTTTATTCAGCACAATAGCTGGTTAGCAATTAACATGTAAGTTTCATTATTACTATTAAAGAGGTTTTCTACTTTAAATACGTTAATATAAGTAGTGATATTGCTGCAGTTATAATAATAGCATGTTCTTACAATAAAATAAAATAAATGTACTAAAGTATACTGTACTGTCTATAACTGTAGTAGGAGGGCGGCACTGAAAATTTCGGGAATCAAGGAAGTGACACAACATTACTATTTAAAAATGTATTTATTGCTTTTCGAAGTATTCTCCGCGAAATTTGACACATTTTTCCATACGATGGAACCAATCATTGAAGCAACCATTCCATTCGGAAGTTGGGGTCTCCAAAATGGCCGTTTTGTAGGCGTCCACAGCTTCTTCAGGTGATGAAAATCTCTGTCCACGCAATTTATTCTCTATTTTATGGAAAGTATAGAAATCATTAGGACATAGGTCGGGGCTGTACGGCGGATGGTCTAATAATTCTATGTTTTCTTGCTCTAAAAACTCTTTTGTTCTGTGTGCGGTGTGAGAACTCGCAATGTCGTGATGGAGGGTGATGCGGCGGTTGCAGTTCTCTTTACGGAGTTTAGAAACGACCTGTGGCAAACAAATGCTAGCATACCATTCTGCATTAACCGTTCTTTGTCTCTCAAGAGGAATAGTCGTAACATGGCCGGTTTTGGAGACAAACGTGGCCACCATTTTTTTTTTGCAACACTCCGTGAACGAACAATTTTTGTTGGCTTTAACTCATTTTCGAACATCCAAACTCGTAACTGGTTTTTTTTTGGGTTCATACGCGTATATCCAGGATTCGTCACCTGATACGATATCGTATACAGCATTTGAGGATCCTGCGTGGAATCTTTCGAGAGATCTGACGCACTAAGTAATGCGATCCACTTTTTGCTCTTCACAGAGCGAATGCGGTATCCATCGGGAAAACAATTTTTTACACCTAATTGTTCATGCAAGATTATTTGTATTTGACTCATGCTAATTTCTAAAGTTACCTAAATTTCGCGGTATGTCACATGTCGATCTTCCTCAATCAGCTTACGCACAGCATCAACATTTTCTTGGGTTAATGCAGTTTTTGGACGACCTTGATGGGGATCATCACTGAGCTTGACACGTCCACGTTGAAATTCAGCAAACCAGCGATAAATTGTGATTTTGAATAGGGCTTCATCCCAAATGCAGAAATCATCCGGTCAACATACTATTTTTGTGCTAAACCACTTCGAAAGTCATAATAAATCATCGCTCTTGAATTTTCTCGAGTCAATTCCATTTTCTCAACGACTAAACAAGTTTGACAAAACCTTGTGACAAGACCGAGAATCTTTTTTTAAAATAAATAAATGGTATTCGATTTTTAAAACCAAGGAGTTTTCAATTAAAAAGATTTTAATATGACAGGAACAGTGGAAATATTCCATTCCCGATACTTTTAGTGCAGCCCTCGTATCTTTAGAATTCAATGTTATACACTGGCAATAATTATCATAAAGATAGCTCCAAACTAGTTGATGGAACCGGAGTTGCACTGATTGATGCTTAGTTAATCATCTCAATCAATCAATGTTAGGCTTATGAGGAGCTGTGTTGTTGATGATAGTCATGCGAAGTCAAAATAAGATATTCCCATGAATTTGTTGAAAATAATAAAATACTTCCCCTTCGAGTACCGGCTATGGTATCAGCTTTAAGATACCTATTCCAGTTAAAATACCAAAAAAAAAATACAATTTGTTTTGGTTCCAAGTCGAAGAGAAAAAACTTCATGATATTGTACTTGTCGTAACTTAGAGGAAAACAGATGTATAACTGCATGTAGTTATCGTTTTTATCTATAAAATCAAACGTAATGATTACTTTTGTATACTATGTTATACTCGTTTTATATGGAATACATTATAATTTTATCTATTATTTTATTTACTTTTAGTGACAAATCTTGATAAAATCACATAATAAAAGTGTCCGTTACTATTGTCAGGTCTTCTGGCATGCTTGAGCCGACCAGCCATGAATGAAATATACCTGCTGACGATCTCCTACGTTGTGTTGGCAACCTTCATCTTAATTGAATTGGGCCTCGCTGGAACTTCAGTTTTCAGGTATTTGTTGAAGTTATTTAAAAAAAAAGATAGTTAACCGACTGAACCGCGTGTTTCTATCACATCGCGTTGCTCCGCGCTCGGCGCGATTGACATCGTTATGATATTTAAAAATACATGTATGAATGCAATAAAAATACATCTAAAAATCTATATTTTTCATTATTTTGTAAGTAAGTAGACATTTTTAGCTGCTTGTGCGGTGCACTTAAAAGAAATGCCACACAATTTGTTGAAAGGCACAAAGGTACATTACAACCCAGATTTTAGTGACCCAAATTACAAATTTTTTAACTCGTTTGTTTCATTGTCCTTTTGGAAAACGTACCCTTATGTGTCATATTATATTCTAATAAATAAAAATTACTATTTCTTTTCGTATTACATACACTTACAGAAGGTAGGTAACGCGCAAATCGAAGCAACGAAGTTATTTGAAATTCATCCCATATCATTCAATTTTAACGAATGTATTATTATCCCTAATCAAACAATATAACCCTTCCAAATTTAAAACGATAATTCCTCAATTATTTCTTCTAATATATAAAAATTGATGTTCCTTCGCTCGTATTTTACGCGCTGCTGTACCGCTCATTAGATTGCAGTAAAACTTTGTCAACTTATTGCTTGCAATTGCGCACAAATTTATTTGAAAGTTATGTGTTATTTAGCTTCAATTAATTTTTATCACAATTTTTCTGCGGCAGCAACTCGCCGGGTACTAGCGAATTAAATATAAATTATTATAAAGCGACAGTATAGGTAATTTTGAATAACCTATAAATATATAGTTTCCTACGGACTTTTACTATTCCAAACTATAAATTGTAAGTAAAGAGGTCTATCCTACTTTTCACTATCTATCCACTTTTGCCTACTGTGGAAATTCTCTATCCGTTTATTGCGTAAATATTATTACAATGAAACTCCATTTTCCTTCCTTCTAAACTTATATAAACTCAACCAAATGTACATTTAATATGACCAATTTTATATTTTATATACCATACAAAAATCGAGTAATGATATCTAAAAACTATACAAGGTTGCTGTTATAAACAATATTAAAATTTATTTTCTAAACATCGGACATATTATCAAGTATCAAGCAAATGTTTGATAAATAAAAATTGTGATACTTTCAGGTAGAATGTTTTTAATACCTACATTTTTCTGTATTGTATCCATCTAAAACATTCTGCATATGTTGAAACAAAATATCTAGTTTAAGTAAGACATGACTTGACTGCTGTCCCACCTGCTTTTAAGTGGTGACTTAATTGAAGATGATAAAGCGCACCAGTGATGAAAAATTATTCCATTCCTTTGCTTAACGCATTACGATCGACGACGTAAATATCAAAGACGCCAACAAAGGCGTGGAGGTTGGCGGTGGAGCGCATGGTTGTCGGATGGTGATAGGGAGAAGGTGGATTTGTTAACTCATGCATTTTCAAATTAAAAAAAAACAATTACCAGCTGGGTCGAAAAGGCGGGATTGCGTTAAACTGGTATTCCAACTCCATTGCTCTTTTCGCGGTTAATGTATTTTGTCCATTGATATTTTGCTTTATTCCTACTTTCAGTCGCCATCTTTGCCAATTTGAATCAATTTTTAAGTAAGTATGTAATAGGGACTAATTCCAACGTTCCAACATTATTTATTAATAAAATAAAATAATATTTGTGAAATATCTATAAATAATAAAACCGAACATTACTATTGTATTTCACATTAGTTTTTTATAATTTGAAACTGAAACTTTGTGTGTATGATTATGTGAGTTTGTGCACACTAAGCCATTGGTAAGCATTTAAATTATGGGTGGTGAAAAAATAATAACCATTTTGTCACAATATAGTATTTTGATTCAAATGAAAACGTTTCAAACTAAACGCTATTCTATTAAGACATTAAAACAGTTTGTTAACTAAGCTCTTCTACTATTTAATTAAAACAATAGCTTGTGTCGTGCGATGTTCTGTTTGTTAATACTTGATGTTGGAGACTTTGTTTCACAAATTGAACGTTTTCATAAACTTTCAAAACCATTACAAAACCAACTTTTGAAGCTCACGCCGCTCTCTCGTTACTTATTGTTTCAATCTGTTGATTTTCTGCGGATAAATCATTTGTTTTCTATTGTGCTAACTTACAGCGGGGCGAGTCAAGTTGACATTATATAATCGTTAACTTGAATAGATAACAATAAAAATTATTGAAATCAGTGATCGGTCACGTGACTTAACGATGAGATATATCATTCTCATTAATTTTACTGTTTATTGTTTACTAGCTGGTACCTGACGCGTCGCTGCCGCAGAAGAAATAATTTTGGAAATATCACTCTAAATTTGTGAGATTTATATTGTTTAACCCTTCGATCCCCATAAAATTCCCAAGCAGTCACATGCGCCCGTCAAAATCCCGAGCGGTCGCATGCGACCGCACGCACCCACAGCACTTTAAACCATAAAAACTTATATTTAGAGACTACTTTTCTGTTAAGAAGTATGGCATTATAGAATTAATACAAAATTCTCTATCCTGTGGTTTAAACAAACGTCAGTTAGGTGTTCTATGTATTTTTATTTTATGTTAAAGTGCTATGGGTGGGTGCGGTCGCATGCGACCGCTTGAATTTTGACGGAACACCGCCTTGGTCGGATCCGACCGTGTGCTCATTGAAAGGTTAATTAGGAATGATAATACATTCATTGAAATTGAATGATATTATAACTTTCAAATAAATTTTTCGGTATGATACGTGGGCTGCCTAGTAGTAAGTTAATTGTACTATGCGTATAACCTTCGCGCTAGTGCAAGTTGACAAAGTTTTAGCGCAATCTGATGAGCGGTATGGGAGTGCATAAAATACGAACAAAAAAATATTAATGTTCGTATATTAGATTACAAGCGACTGACTTCGACTGTGTGGTGTCCATATCGTTTTCTTTTATTTATAAAATCAAGAATAATATAAAAAATATAGCCTAGACAACTCCTGATATTGGTCTTTATCTGATCGTAAATTCGTTCTATTCCGAAGATCACGCAGACAGACAGGCAAACATTTATTCATGTCATAATAGCATACAAATAATCCCCTGAGCTTACTACAAAGTTAACTTTTTTTACATTAGAGACAAACATTTCAATTTTATTCATATGTATAGATTAGGAGATGGACAAACCAGATGGGCAGCAGCGTATTGCTAATAACGACTAAAGTAGAAAAAATTCCGGTTGCCATCCTGCATGCGAAGCAACAACAGCAAAAATACCTCCTATGAAACAATTTATTTCAGCTGTGGACTTTAATGGGCTGTGACGAAACCTTAACAACTAAACACCTAATTATAACGATTAAATTAAGTTTACTACGCCAACCCCCCTGATTTAGTTCACATATAGATATACACATTTCGATTCGTTTGGTAATATATCAAACACTTTATTGAACAATTTTCATTTCTTACTAGCGCTCCGCCCCGGCTTTGCAAAGCTGATTTCTATATCTTGACAACACCTCCAGCTACCGGGTCCAATTGTGAAGTTGTGAGTCTAAACTATCCAGGGCTAGACACAAAAATTTTTATCAGAATCGGTCGAGTCAGATTCGAGTTTTAGAAAGACTCGTTAGTTGTCCGTGATAGCAATAAATTTTTATGTATATATATATATATATATATATATATATATATATATATTATCTTTACCTTTACCTATACCGTTGGTGAGTATTTTTTTTTAATAATCGTGTGATTTCTGAACGACTTGAACGATGGAGACTATATTTACGAAATACCTATATTTATTTTGTCGTGACGATGGCCCTGTAGTCAAGTTGAAAAAAAATCCTATATTTATAATACAAAATTACTGAAATTAAAAATGTATGTCGCTTTAGGTAAACAAAAATTACAGTACCTGGTCCCAATACATGGTGGCGATATGGCCAAATCCTATCCTATACATTTAAACGAGCAATTGTATATATATAATCGGAATCTCGGAAACAGCTCCAACGATTTTCATAAAATTTTGTGTGCAGGGAGTTTCGGGGGCAATAAATCGATCTAGCTAGGATTTATTTTTAGAAAATGTCTTTTTGTCCGTTTTTTTAGGCAATGAAAAACTGCTACAATATCGTTAGAGTAAGAAGGTAAATTTTGACAGGTTATTAATGATTACAAATAGCTTAATTGGTATATTGGCCGGTCACAAAATCGTAATACCATGGTTCGAGACCGACTAACCGACTTTTTTTTAATTTTTTTTGAAGTTCCTTTCTTTTTTGAGAAAATCTATTTTTTCGAGCCCTTTTTTTAGTATTTTTTAAAAACACGAAAAATTTAATTAAACTAATTGCACTCAAGATTTTTTTATTCAAATAACCAGTTCAGTTTTTTCTATTATGTCGCTAAGATCAAAAAATATTATTCGTATTTCATCAGTATGTAATTTGTATCTAAATATAATTTCCAAAACACACGAATTAAAAAAAAAACCGAGCGAAAAATACCGAGCAAAGCTCGGTCAACCGGGTACTTATAATTAATACTAGAAAGCCGCTCGGCTACACACGGTTGATTCTCATCAACAATGTCTCCCGGGTCCAATTATGAATCTAAATTTGCCATCCAGGGACCCATTCAAACACACATAAAAATTTCATCGAAAAAGAAATGGCTCGATTCTTTTGAATTAAATCAGAATCGAACAATTTTCGTGTTTTAGCGAGACTAACGGACAGCAATTGATTTTTATATATAAAGAATATATTAACACTAAAACTTACGAAGTGAGCGTGTTATGATCAAGGTATATAAAACCTATCTGACAGATATACACACACAGTGACAGATAAAGCAAAAATTTTGCAAGTACTCTAATGAATTTGGTGAAGTGAAACAGGGCGCAAGAAAAAGCAAGTTTAACATAAGTTCAATATCAACATCATCAACATATCGTACTATTATATATTATGTTCTTTTCTGTCCTTATCCCAAGTAAGTTGAAATCGAAATAGGATTTCTTTCCCTTCCATTGTGCTCTATTAGCTTTCATCTATTCACTTACCCCTTTCTTGCTCATGTCATTCCTAATATAGTTCATATATCTGTTCTTAAGCCTTCCTTTGCTTTAACATCCATCCACTGTGATATATTTCGATACACGAATCGAATAAAATCATAACTCATAAAGTGAGGTTTACAGGAGAACGAACAAACGACTTTGCGCTCTTTACACCTTCTAATTTAGGCATTTTGTATGATTTTTATAATGTTTGATATTTAATAGTAGTATTTTAATTATTATAAAAGCTTTATTTTTTTTCCTATTTGCATTATTTTTAATTTTTTATCAAGTTACCAACAGCGGATTTGATAAATCTTCAAGGGAGTAATATTGTAAATGCACCTGCTATACTATTAAACGCGTTTCTCTTTTATTTTTGTCTAAACTAAAGTAACTAGACTTATGCAGCTGTTTGTTTGTCATTTGACTGCGATAAAATATTGTAAATAAATATACGCTTACAATAAGAACCGTAGTATACTGCACAATAATCTAAAACCGAGTTTTACAGTAAACTCAGTTTTATATTTTTGTGGTATACTGTTTCTCTAAATTAAATAAGATTGTAACAAAACTTGTATAAGTTTTAAGCTTTTATGCGAAATGTCATATTTTATTTATGGAATACTATTAATACCTATAACGCTAATAAATTAAAAGTAAGCTTGTAAACTGAAATGTAAATATATTTCGCTTTCCGAAATTTTATGTATTGCCCTGAGACTGCTTAACAACTATGAATTTCTTACATAAAGTCAAAAATAACTATATTGTAGTCGTAGGAAATAGAGCAGTATAAAAATAATGACGGTCTAAAACAATACTATAAATTAAGTTAATAATAATACAAGCAATCTGGTTGATAAATATGTATATACAACACTCAGTAGTCACGTTTATCACCCATTGGTTGACAAATAGCACGGATTTTCAAATCACACGAGTAGCCAAATAGCTTTCCACAGGCCACTTTTTAACTCTGAAGGTAAAGAGTGACTTTGTCAACAAACTTCCTGTAACAGTACAATTACTGCTTTACTTAACGTCAGAAATGATATTAGGCAATGCATGCAAGAAAAAAAGTAACAGTACTGATACTAGTTGATTTCTCAAATGCTTTAAACACAGTTGATTATGAAATCCTTCTATCCATAATGCCTCGTCAAAATTTTGCCCTATTGCCATGGAATGGTTTGCATCTTAAACTCGCAATTGACAGCATGTTAGCCAAGACGATTCTTGCAGGCTTACATCCTATTTATTACAATGGGATTACAATTCCGTTCAGTACGTCTGTAAAAACATCTTGGCCTACACATCGACAGCACGCTGAATTGGAGAACTCAGTTTTCAGTCAAGACTCACTTATTCGTAAAGTCATTACCACGTAGGTAACGTCTCTGTATCGTTTAAAACTAATTCTTTCTACAAAATTTAAAACCATGCTTGTCCAATCGCTCATCTTACCCAAATATATATATATATATATATATATATATATATATATATATATATATATATATATATATATATATATACCACATTTTGAAATATAGATGGAGGCTTAATTGGCTTTTCTTTCTTTCTACCTTACTCACCCAAGTACCATAATTTTCTAAACAAAATAAATCTGCCCCATCTGTAACGTTAGAAGGGAATTTGCTATAGCCCTATTCCCTATAGTCATGTTTCAAAAACTTATTTTAAGTAATCATCTTCTTAGTATTTAACGTATGGTAGTGAAAGTTGGGTGTGGCAGAAGAAGCACGAGAGTAGAATAAACGCAGTAGAAATGCGGTCGTTAAGGAGTATGTTAGGGCTGAATCTGAATGACAGGGTGAGAAATCGTGTGATAAGAGAAGAGTGTGGTTTGCAAGATGATTGTGACCAATATTAAGAAAGGAATGCTTCAGTGGTTTGGTCATGAGGAAAGAGTGAGTGCGGAAAGAGTGACAAAGAAAATTTATGTTGCGGAAGTGAATGGCAGAGTCGGAAAGGGACGTCCTAAGCGAAAATTTATCGACCAAATTAGCGATTTATTGAAAACGGGCCAAATTAGGAGTACCCTTAACCGAAGACCATGTATGCGTAGGTATATGGATGTGAAGGAGGCGAGAGAGGTCTGTCAGGATACATACAAGATTCTAAACTTTTTGGAAATCACTTTTTACTTGTCTAGGTGGAATATAATCGGAAGATTTACAGCTTTCATCAATTGGGTCATAAGTTATATTAATTTCAGAAGTTTCTTTTAATTTTATTTCATTCTCTTTAAATAATAATAATGCAAACCTCCTTGAATATCCGTCTGTCTAAAAAAAGGTATGTCATCAACATTGCTGTATATGTTCATCCTGGTATTGAAAGATCTGACTGAAAAATTAAAAACTAATTTCAGAATATAATAGATATCATTGATTTGGATTTTTTCGGAATAAAAACGTTTATTAAAAAAGTGATTTTCTTATAAATGTTTTTATTATAAAAAATATCTATCGATAGAGGTAATAAACTTTGGCATCACCTCTCACCTCTATATACTAGTCAGGTGGGCCACGACAGTTTTATAGATACCTTAGTCGATAAACATGTGCTTATCCATTACATCAAACAATGATATTTAATTAATGGAAAATGTTAATATGACCAAAAATTAATATTCGAAAACTGAAGGTAACCGGGCTAACTATAACAATGGGACCATGGGTGCTGTAAATTATCCGACTTAACAGCGAGCGCTAACCATCTGAGCTGTTATCTGTAAGATGTTGCTACCAACCCGTTTTTCATTTTCCTCTGTCACCTTTTACGACATTCGCGGGAGAGAGTAGTGGATTATCTTACGACGCCATTACTTGTTGTAGTTGTTCATAGGTAGCGATAAAACAGGAAGAGTCCGTCATGTTATTCAGTGCACTATGGTATACTTTACATGTCTTGGAAAGTGGCTTTTTATTGTTTCCTTTTATTTTGTTTTATGGTCAGAGAGAACGAGATTAAGCAGTGCTCAAAATTTCTGTATATAAAAATCAATTGCTGTTCGTCGGTCTCGCTTGGACTCAAAAAATCTCTCAACTGATTTTGATGAATTTTGTGTGTGTGTGCGTGTGTGTGTGTGTGTGTGTGTGTGTGTGTGTGAATGTGTTGGTAAAATAGTGCCATATTGCGTGATCAATAAAAATTAATAAAATCAAATCAATTCTTGAATGACATTTAAGAAGACAAGGTTTCCAATACGTGTTAAAAACAACATATATCCTACGAACACTGTGATCTTAATCAGAAAGATGTTAGTGTTCAGGCCTAGGCATCCTCTTATTTTGATTCTTATTCGAGGATAGATTTAGATATCTATGGGCCACAACATTAACTTACCAATGCTTGTTATGTATATGTATGTAATCGTATGTAACCGTTACTCTATTTAAAAATGTGTAAGTCAGTTTATTATTGTCAAATTCAACGATGAGTTTGTGACAGGTCCCTGAGCGTGAGTGCCGGCACCTGCGCACTGTTCACATACGTCACCTACGCCACGCTGCCGGTACGATTACATGAGGCCACAATTGGGGGGATGGCATTGGCCGTTATTAACATCGGTGCCCACGTAATTCTCAACAAAACCTCGGACATACAGGTAAATTTCTGGCGTGTCGACTTTGAGTAATAGTTTGGTAATTGATTATGAATTTCGACAATTACTATTAATTGATGACAGTTCCATGGTGCAGTGGCTTAGTAATGAGTTACCGCTCTGCGGCCCACGGGTTCAAATCCCACACATAACAATAAACGCCGCACATATTAGAAGGCCTCGTATATAGACTTCACAAAGCATGCATCGGAATCTAATTACCTCCAGTGAGAGCTCGCCCTACACTGCGCTTCCAGTGAACCTACCGCCCACTGCTAATTGGTATTAACTACATTATTAAGCTATGTGTGTTGCTCTTATTTATGCGAATTTCCTGTATTATAACATATCAAACCTTGAAAGAATAACACTTATGTCATTTATGTTTTTAAGTGTCATTTTGTTATAACCTTACAAACGATAATTAAAAAAGAATAGTTTCATTAATTGTAACCTCTCTTATGTAATACAGCATGGATATAGTAATACCCAAAGTAAATTCTATGTGGTTTTTCCTATTTCATCGCTATTATCGATATTAAAGATTATATTTATTTATTTATTTATGCTATTATGTGCAAAATATTAGACTTAATGACATAGGGCATTCTCTCCCAGTCAACCATTAGGCTAAACAGAGATAGACATTTTGGAGGCGGTGCAGCAATAATCAAATAGAGAGGATAAAAAAATATATATATAATAAACAATACACACACACATATATATGTATATATAGTATAATATATATACATACATACATACAATATATACACATAAATACATAAATATGTATATATATGTATATGTACATATATATACATAATAGGTACGTATAAATATTATCTGTGTCAGAACAAATATGAAATATATACGATAAAAAGAGCTGTGTTATTTGAAACTTGCAACGATTTAATCATATACTTACGTACTTGATTTATATATATTATATTATATATAATCAGCAAGCTTGAAGAATAAAAATAAACTCCAACATTTTCCCGCTTTTAATAAAATGTTAAATCATTATCCGTTTCTAGAACATTGTAGAATTAATGATGCGCCATTAAAAAAATTAAATAGCAAAATATTTTTGAAAGCATCCGCCTGTCGCAAGCTTGGCATGATGTTTAAAACTAACATATTTTCAAATATAACAATAAAATGTGATTTTTGTAGATCTTCTGCAACTTGACGACACTAATAGCGAGCAACTTAGCCGGTATAATGACACACCATCCCCGTGAACTCGCGCAGCGTCGAGCTTTCCTCGAGACTCGCGACTGTGTCGAGGCCAGACTAGTCACACAACGCGAAAACCAACAACAGGTAAATTTATTGATTTTATTTACTATATTTTTTAATTTTATCCAGCTATAAATTGTACATGTATAAGCTTTCAAATGGTCCTACTTTCAACTTGTTAACACCGGGCCCAAGAATGTATGGTGACGTTTCCTTCTCCCTAAGAAGTTGCATTTATTTATTAAATAAACACGTCAAAAAGTCACGTATGAAATCCATCCACCTTTAGGAAATAATTCTATTCAGAAAGCTATGTAAAAATCGAAGGTATTTGATTAGAAAATTGTCAAAAATCGTATATGAAAACAAGATCCACATCGCACCTACAAATGAAAATATTTTGAATGAAATTAATCTAATTTAACAATACCTGAAAAAACATCTGAAAAGACACCGAAGTTGAAGCCATTTTTGTTAGATTTTCTAAGAAAATTTTACTGCAGTAGCATCTTGCCATCAAATACAATTAAAGCAACACTCTTTTTATTTTTTCGCGGTGTAATAGCCACGTCAAAAAAAGGAAACGACTGGCGTGTTAAAACTCCATTTAAAAGGAAATACCCAAATTTTTATCTCTGGTTTTACCGTGTTGTACAAAAATTAAAAATGTAAGATTATAATGAAATATCAATTGCTTCCTTTTTCCTTTAAGATGCAAGGCAATAGCGAATTTAGAGGAATATTGCTTTATTGCTACCTCCTTAATGCTAAGGTTGGTAATTAGTTTAAGCCGATAGCTGCACATACAACCTGGATGCGAGGAGAATGCTAAGATATTTGCAGTTTTAGAGCTTGCTCGTTATAAGTAATCAACGGGGTTCATAACCTTTACGCCTTCATTTTTATTATTCACATCTTATAGTTATATAATGATTCAACCCCATTCCTCGGAAGTCACACAAAGTCGTTGGTCCTGCGAGTGAACTCTCTGTGTGTGCGTCTGAACCTCTTGCCGGATAACGGTCCCATCAGACTATAAGGGTGAGGACCCTACCCTGCAAGGTAGCTAGATTCCGTTCAGACTGGCCACTGTGACCGAAATTAGATCTGGAGGACGTGATGTACACATTAAGTAAGTAAACGCTATCCATATACTAATATGTGAAAAGAAAGAGGAGTGTGAGATTTTGCATATTTCATGTATTACTGATACGTAAAATAAAATATTAAAGTATAAATAATAAAAAATCATTGGCCAATGGGAAACACATAATAGTCTTTGGTCAAATAGTCGCATAGGGTACAGATTGCCGCTAAGCACAAAGACCCAGAAAAGTTATTTGCACGCCATACAAATTAAGCTTCGTACGGGACCCGAAACCACGACCGACTACGTCGTAGCCAAATGCTTAGCTACAGCGCTAGTGAACGGAAGAAAAATATTTATTCCTACTCGTAACTCTGAGAAAAATATAAAGTACCAACCACAAACGGTAATAAAAAGAATTTCATCCCTGGTACTCATTATTAAATATACGTGGTAGAGCCATACTGCAGTTATATTAGTAGTATAGTTGTAGCACGAATGGGTCGGCTCGACCGGGGAAGGACCACGCTCTCACAGAATACCAGCGTGAAATAGTAGCTTAACGCTGCTGTGTTTCGTATGGTAAGTGTAGAGAAACGGAGACCCTTTTGACTGGAAACGAGGCATTCTATCTTAGCCCTCACGGGTGACAACGCATCTACATTTTGATTTGTAATCGAGGATAGATGTGCTCGTTTGACCCTATCCTATAAAAAAACACCCACATAATATATGTCCAGTAAATAATGAAATGGTTTAGAGTTTACGGAAAGTCAAATATTTATGTTTATTATGTTAATTTGAAATACCCAAATTTATAATTAAAGAATATACAATATTTTATATCGCAAATATAAATAAAAACGTAATTAAAATTCAATAAAAATACAATAAAGATAAATACAATAGAGATAAAAAAACGTAATTAAAATTCAAAATTTAAAAAGATAATGTTACAATCATTATACGTCCCACTGCTGGACACAGACCTCCTCTCATTTCTCAGAGAGTTTTAGGGCAAGGAAGTATCCTCCGCGCTGCCCCAATGCGTGTTGGTGAACTTCACATGCCTTACTTACTTGAAATACTTTTTTTTCTTATTTGTCAGACATTGAGGCTTTTCCACGATGTTTCCCTTCACTGTCACCAATTTCTATGAGAATGAAAATTGGCAACGGCATCTTCCTGATATCAACTTAAAATTAAAGTAAACTATGTCAAATTTCTCTCCTATGGAGCAATCTATTGTGACTTTTCGTTGGCTGTAATGAATGAAAAAAAATATTTATAGAGGCTACACACCATGCGGCCTCGTTTACCTTTGCCGCGTTTCAGATAAAAATCCATCTGATTCTATTGTGTCCTCTTGCCGCTTAACGCGTAACAAGGAGAAAATTGTTGAGTGTTGCGCACCAATTTTGTGCTCGTTTAGCGTTCATTAAAATCATTATACACGTTAGGTCACTTTGAAGAATATAACACTCCGTTTACTTGGACTCGTAATTACGCTTCTCAAGTGGATAATTATTTCGAAAATACATTCACAAATTTTCATTTATTACAATTTTTTTATCAAAATTAACAAATTATCAAAAATAATTGAAAGAATAGTTATTATCGATATGATTAAAAAGTAGAAGGTTATGTATAATATACAATGGCTCAGATAGCTCAGGAGATAAGCGCTTGCTGTAAATTTGAGAGTGCGTGAGTGAACCCGGCTTTCGAGCCGGCTTTCGAACCCCGCCGGTTCCGATGAAACTGTTAATTTCAATTTTAAATGTTTACTTATCTTGTGATCGCCAAAGAAGGTGGACACCATGAAGGAATTTGCATGACAGAATGTAATACATTGAAGGTTTTTTTTTTGAAGACATGTTAAGTCTATCAACACGTAACGAGCGAGCGCGGCGGACACTATCTTGCCCTTAAAAACCGCTCAAAAATAAAAGGGGTATATATAGGCTGCTACTTTCCCATCGGGCTACTTTTTACTTTTATAGTGAAGTATAGTTGTTTCTATTTTATAAAACATTTAAATATTCTTCTGCTACAATAGTTGTAATTATGAGAGAGGAAATCTTCTTGGAAAGTTCCTTATGTTTTTGATGAAATTCACATGTGTTATTTTCTTATGGCAATGACAATATAAGTATATTACAGCACATTATCTATATTTTACACGTGGTAGAGCCATGTTACAGCTATATTATAATAGTTGTAGCACGAAGGGGTCCATTCGACCGAGGAACGACAACTTTCTCACAGAATTCCAGCCTAAAACAGCAGCTTAATCACTGTGTTTAGTATGGAGAGTCTAGAGAACCGGAGAGCCTTTTACTTTAAAAGGGGCATTCCATCTTAGTGCTTAGGAGTGACAACGCATCTAGATTTTGATTCTTCATAGAGAATTAATGTAGTTGTCGATGAGCAACAGTATCCGCTTGCCATCCGGTGGACTGTATGCTCGTTTGTTATTATGTATATGTTAAAAATTAAATATTTGTGTGCTTGGATATTATTTCCAAGAATGCAATTGGTATTAATAACTACACCTCAAGTTTTCTTCATTCCACACTATGCGTTGATTATCTCCTATGAAATATGCTTACTTTGAATAAACTAAGATATTTCGTCGTCTGCATCTACGTCTCACCTTATACGACTGCTTGTAGCACCCTCGCAAGATTTATTCGCAAAGATGGCAATTAAGAAAATTCTCCGTGAAACAAATACGTTAATTAAAATAAGTAATGTTTACTTATTTATGTATCAAGAGAGTTACTAAATTCATTTAATTATACTTGTTACCAGTATCGTGGACAGCGCATACTTTGTTTTAAATTTAATAAACAATCTAAATAAATAGAAAATCTGCCGTAAACTACAACGCGCGTCTTTTCCAGTAACTTTTATGAAACGGCAGAAGAAAATTTTTAATTAATTGGCTTATATTATTCATAGTACGATTTTAATTAAATGAGGCTCGTCCACACGGCATAGTGATAAAATGTTATTAATGATTTAATTAAATTCTATACGCTTTTTAAAAATAATGTATATACATATATATATATATATATATATATATATATATATATATATATATATATATATATAATATTTAACCGATTTTAATCAAATTTGCACACCGTGTACAGTTTGGTCCTTAACGATTTTTATTAGGACATGCCAAAGGATCGTCGAAAAGGGCAGAACAACGTCTACCTGGCAAGCTAGTAATATATATAATTAAAAACCATTATTTATACTGGGTTGATTTTCTATTAAATTATTTGGTGTAATCTCTATAAATTTAATGTAAAAATAGAGTGTAATGGCCCAAATACTGTAAGTTGTACTGATTAGTTCACCTTACGAAATTAATTTGAGATTTTTTTTATAATACTTTTATATTTTAGTACTTCCGGCCTTTTACAAAATAACTAATATACTTGTTTCAGGAACGTCTCTTGCTGTCGGTCCTACCGCGTCACGTTGCGATGGAAATGAAAGCCGACATCGCTAATCAGCCCCGTCAAGAACAATTTCACAAGATCTACATTCAAAGATATGAAAATGTGAGGTGAGTACCTGAACATTATTACACCTACCCGAAATGATTCGTTAGGTGACATGTCGGAATTTACTTATTACTTACGTGATACGCATTTTGATATGTAGTAGAGCTACACTGCAGTGTTTTATAGCTGTAGCACAAACAGGTCAGCTTAAATGGGGAAGGATCCCAGTTATTTGTTCATTACAGCATATTGAGGAAGAGCGAAGCACTTTTATCGGTTATTTTATATAATCAATATTGTGAGCTTTTCCAAGTGGAGAGGGATTAATTATAAGGAATTGATTTATGTGATGCTGATACAAGTGGAATTGAGACGATTTAATGTTGTGAACCCTTTAGAGCCCTTTTTTCGTGAAGAGGGTTCATTAGCCTAAAATAATTGTAAGGCACTACTAACGAATTTCGATTGCTGTTCCAAGAAACCCCTAAAAGAACTTAGCTACCAAACAAACACAACGCAAATAAGGGTTCTAACTAAGACGATCACGCCTTAAATATAACAAATGGCCTGTAACTAAACTTTTAGGAAAATCTTTTGGAAAGATCTATACGTATTAGCCTGGTCACGTAATTTACGCTCTTTATTATTGTTATATTTTACATCAATAGGCCTCTTTTCTATACAATGAGAGCGTTACACTAACAAAGAATACTGTTGATTATAAGTCTCCCCACTGGTCATTTACCATATTTGTTTTTTGAGTTGTTATCAAGAACACGCTGCTAACAATCTTCTGTTTCAATTTCCCTCTGTCGCTTTTTAAGACACCCATGGGTCGATATGAGATAGTGTAGTCTAGAACGCTGGAATTATACGGCGGATAAAAATAAAATGTACAAAATATATTATTCTAAATTTATACAGCAGATGTATCGCCAACGTAATTGCTTTGAATTCAAGCGTTTGTGCTTCAATGCAATAATGTGATACAGCTCCGACATTTCAAAGAAAACTTTCTTGAAATCAAATATTTCTTCTTGAATTGTATATCAAATCTGTATTATATACATTGTTATAAAATATACAATTTTAGCTCATTGTTATATCATCATACATAGACTCCATTTTGTCTCAATTTGCTTTTAATTCTTTTTATTAAGTTACACTCCTTTTAAAATTTTATATTTCAATCTGGTATGGCCTATAGGCATCTAGATCTATCTTCTATTAAACAACAAAATGTAAGGCTAAGTTGGAATGCCTTATTACAAGTTTAAAAAATCTCCTCTCCTCACCATACGAAATAAAGCAGAATTATGCTGCAATTTTGCGCTGGTATTCAGTGAGAGCGTATTTCTGCGTATTTCAGCAGTCGAGCCAACATATTCGTGATGCAACGATAATAAAGCAGTAGCGTGGCTCTACTGCTTTAAAACAATGCACACTGCATATACGATAATGCACATGGATAATGAACAAGCGCAAATATTTTTCTAAGTTCAATTTATATCCACCGCTGCCATGATTACTATGTTTTGTTTTTTCATAATCTTTTTAATTTTAAAAACTAAGAACCTAAAATTACTGCCCAATAACTTCTATTAAACACATCTAGTATACAACATAAAAAATTATATGGGCATAGCTACAATGCCTCTTAAATTAACAGGAGAATACCGAATAACATTTTCGCACTGACCTCTATATAGGGACTGGCTATAACCACCGTATAAACACCGTGACATAATGAGGTGATTTGATTGGCGCCATTTTGACGCTGTCAGTAGAATTGAACTTCCACGGAACTAATAATAGAGATATCAGTGTGACAAAATATATCGATAAAAATTCTATACCCTGTACCTAAATAAATAGAATCGATGTTACGGGTACGCATCTATAGGTAACGTCCATTCTATTTATGTTACATAGCGATATATTGACAAAATTTTACCGCGATCTGATGAACGACATGGCAGCACAACATACGACCATAAAAATATTAATTTTTATATATTAGATTGTTGTATTTATATAATGCCATCATTATTCATCATCATTACAGCCCTTCACAGGTCCACTGCTGAACATAGGCCTTCTCCAAGGAATACCACAAATAACGGTCCTGATTTCACGGTGGCTTGCTCGATCCTTAGCTTTGTAGGATTCAATCGGGGAAGCCTATGTTCAGCAGCAGATGATGATGAAGAAGTAATATATTATAATTTGACAATTAGAAATTTATTAAAATTCAAAGCTACACACTTTTGTTTCCATTAAAGCATAAAACGAGCAAAATGTGTGAGCATCATCGACCCAGTAACTACGAAGTGCAGATTGGTAGTTACATTTGCTCGTGGAAATTAGAAAGTAGTTCTCATTTTATTTCATGAGTCGCTTTATTTTGATAAGACTTGATATTTTAAAGATCAGCGATCTGGATACCATCAGATGAGATCTTGAATAGGTAATTGAGCTTTTAAGAGGATATCAGTGCTGAAGAAATTTAAAGATTATATTTTAAACGATCTATTGTTGTCGCGCTATACGCGAACGATTATGCTAGACAACTGAGAGAAAATACTATAGAGGACTGATCATACCTCTACAAATTGACGAAAATGCACTGAATTCTATATATACAAGTACGCTAGACTGGCTATACCATACAAAATGTCTGTGCCGATTTGAAGCGCCTACATTTTCCGTTGGGTTGGCAACCCTAGTTTTTTATTAGCGGTCAGCCGCCGTAGAGTCTACATTACCTGAGGATGCCTCGTGTAGAGGCGAAACACGTGTCGTATTATCGTCGATGGTGTGTCTTACCTGGAATAGTGGTGTTGGGAGTAGTGGTGCTGGGACTAGTGGTGTCGGAGTTAGTGCATGCAATTGAGGGAGGGCGGGAGGTGCTCTTTAATCCAGATAAGACACATCATTGTATTTATTTAGCGGAAGGTTGCGAAGTAATATTTTTATTTTTTATTATAATGGATTTCCGCAAAGTAATGATTCTATCATTATGTATATAGAAATATCTCCCATATCCTATCTCACTCCTCACCTTTTAGGATATATATATATATATATATATATGCGTGTATATATATAACATACAAACTATCCGGCTTCGAATGAGTCTAGATGTAAATCTAAACCATCTAGGACCATCTCAAACACACACAAAAATTTCATCGAAATCGATCTAGCCATTTATTGAGTTTTTGCGACTCTAACCGATTAATTAATTTTCATATAAAAGAATTGCTTTTTTTAGGTACATTTGAACCTATTATGAGTCCTTATAAAGTTAAATTTCTTATGCAGTTTATGACGTTGAAATAATTTTTAAGCTTTTATTTTAGTTTACTTTGTAGTAAATTGATGCTGTGACCCATACATACCTAAATCTATGTTCGATAGAAAATCAATACCCCGATGGACTTTAATGCTTAAAATATCAATAGAAAGCTTCGTCTTTATCAATAAAAAGAATAGACTCTTCGCCCCACTTTCCTTGCGCAACACATTAGCATTATGCTGCTATTTGAAGCTGTTATTCTTTGCGAGCGTGGCTTACTTATGGTTTATTTATTGGCCTCTTCTCCAATGGCCACTGAACTCTTAGACTATTGCAGTTGATCATTCAATATTTCAATGAGAATCACCGTCCATATATACAATATATCTCAAGCGCTTGTTACGCAAACACTCGGTTGCGTTTCGGTACTCAAACCTTTGATAGGGTAAAAAGTTAAATGAAGAAAACTGCAGCCAATACATCACCTCTACTAGGCACAGACTTTCTCTTATATCTCAGATGGAAGCTGTGGAGCACTATTTTGACAGATTTCAAAAAGCAGGATATTCTAAATCCATCTGCATTTTTAGGTATTTCACACGATACCTTCAACAGTTGTGGACCGATTTTAATAATTATTTTTTACATACTAGCGATCCGCCCCGACTACGTACGGTTTACTTCTGGATCTTGACAACAGCGCCACCTACCAGGTCCAATTATAGGTCAGCCGATTGGGACAAAATGCGATCTTTTTTTGCATCCTTCCCTTGGAGGTGGGCTTGCTTCTCGCCGGATGATCCCAGCGTTGTTGCTGATTCGTTCGCTGATATGGTGCTACAGGGAACGGAACTTTTTATTCCATCATCTGTGGTACCTAGCGGAGGCAGAACCCAGCCTTGGTCTTATTGCTCCTGCAAAATTGCATTACGTCATAAGCAAGAGTGCTACCAGGCGTGGGCTCGCGCATCGACATCTCGGGATGCAAATACTAGCTCTTAAAAAGAAGTATAATTCTGTCTCCAGGTCCTGCAAAAGTCAGAGCATATCGGCAAAATTGGCAAGAAACTAGTTATTCTTCCTACGGGAAAACGTGCATTCTGCTCTCTCGCCAAGGCAGCCGAAGGAATCTTCTGTCAGCCATCTCTCTCATCTCTGCATAGGGAGAACGACTCACTGGCCCATGTCGCAAGGGACAAAGCCGATCTACTGGGCTCTCTCTTTGTGTCCAACTCAACTCTTAATTATGAGGGGAACACACCGCCGACCATTCCGCGGTGTGAGTGCTCCATGCAGGATGTGCTGTTTACCCAACGCTCGTTGCGCAGAGCACTCCTCTCCCTGGACGTCAACATGTCGAGTGGGCCTGATGACTTGTGCTCCGGAGTTGGCACCGGTTTTAACGCGTCTTTTCCGGTACTCCTACTCCCTAGGCGTAGTCACGAAATCATGAAAGACAGCCTTCGTGCACCCGATCCTCAAAACAGGTAACTGCTCTGATCCGTTAAACTATAGGCCTATCACCATCACCTCCTTGTTTTCTGAAATAATGGAATCCATTATTAAAAGCCAGCTCACCCATCAGCCACCTTGACGACCACCAGCTGATTCGTGACCGCCAGTACGGTTTTCGTTGCGGTCCCTCGGCTGGTGATGTTCTGGGTTACGTAACTCATAAATGAGCGGAGGCAGTAGAGTCTAAGTGGGAGGCTTTGGCCGTTTGTTGGACGTAGCGAAGGCCCTCGAACGGGTTTGGACAAAGTG